TTTGTATACGGGGTAAAAGGGGGAGTTCATAATCCACGTGAATCAAACCGTGTAATATGATGTATTAAGAACTATGTAATGTTATGAACGACCAATAAAAAATAAATAAATAAATAAATAAAATAAAAAAAATAAATTCAATCAAACATAAAAAAAAAAATAAAAAAAGAAAAGGTGCCAAAGCTAAAACAACTCCAGAAAAAAAAAATCACGAGTAGAGTGGATTGAGACATGACACAACAAGGGTTAGAGGGTGGGTTTCACCGAGGGGGATAGTCTCAATTTGGCCAGCAGAAGGAAAGGAAAGAAGGAAAGGTGGGAAATCCCAAAGAGGCTTGAGTGGAGAGGGGATACACTGAAAGATGGGCTGGCTGATATGTGGGCATGCAAAGGCTAATATAGGTCAGATGAACTTCTTGCACACAGGAAATTTAAGATAAAAGGTAGTTTAGAAAAACTCTGTGGCAAGACCTATTAGTGAAAAGGGTGGAGCAGGTCTGAGGACCTAATAAATGGTCATTTCCTGAGCCAAATGTAAGGTGATAAGAGCATAGTCACTAAAAGCTTAGACAGATATAAGACTTGCTAAAGGTCAGGTGGTAACAAAATTTGAGAGCTATGGTTTCTTGCTTGGGAGTTAAGAAGGACAATGACATTACCAACAGAAATGGAGGTATGAGAACAAAAGCCAAAGTTTTGGGGAAGCAGTGGGAGAAGGGTGTGATTTTGAACAAGTGACATTTGCCTCTGGGAAGGTTAGCAGTAAAGAACTGATATCCAGGCAAACTCCAATCCACATGTGGAGACTACTGAGTCACTATTGTAAAGACAGTTGAACTTAGAAAGAATTCAGGGCAAGGAACAGAGGTTGAGAAGGATACTACGCCCTCCCTGTGTAGCAGGGGAGAGAAACAGCCACAATTTTCTACAATTCTTGGGAGATTTACTGTGTGTGATGGGGGATGCGGGAGCTGAGTGTGACTCAGGTCACTGTGGAAGGGCCTGCCCCAGTAGGTTACTACTAGCCCCTCTCCAACCTTGCTTGCTCCCCCAGGAGAGTGCCCATCTGAAATCTGAGTGCAGGAGATTGCTGAGCACACCAGGCTTCTAAGTGAACTCATTCTGGAAAGCTCTCATCTCTAGGGAGCTCAGTGGGGCATATTCTGCTACTAAAATGGAGGCCTGTCCCTCCCTAGTTCCATCTGTGAAAAGATGGTAAGCCTAATTCTGAGGTGATATGGTAGCAAGCTTTTGTACTATATAGCTAAAGCTGGTGTATTTAATTAGCTCTTTTAGCAATGAGGCTGACATTTTACCTGATTCCTACTTTTCTACTAGTTCTCAATTGGGGAAGCATGAAGTATACTATGCCACAATATAGTATTTAGATATTTAGATATCTAAAGAAGTGTGTTTCAGATGAACAAGTTTAGGAAGCCATATAATGATTTATAACTCATCTTTGAGAATCTTTTCAGAGCTAATGAACAATCCAAAACAATGATTTCAGGAAGTATTTTTTGACAAGAGTCTTCTAGGAATAAGAACTTTATTTAGAAGCAGTGCCCCACTGTCTCATTAAACCCCAGCAGAATCCCAGGTCTCTCTAATGTCATGAGGTATAGGACACCTCCTCACCACTTCCCATGACAGCCTTTCCAAACAGAGTCTGGACATACCCTTTGCTATATAAAAGTCAACTGGTGGGCTGGGGTTGTGGCTCAGCGGTAGAGCATTCACCTAGCATGTGCAAGGTCCTGGGTTCGATCCTCAGAACCACATAAAAATAAATAAACAATCGAACAAATAAATAAAGGTATTGCAACTAAAAAAAAAAATCAGCTGGCTCCTGGGTACAATCTTGCCTCTCTACAGCTTCCTTGGGACCTCATCCCCATCCCTACCACAACCACCAGGATGGAATCACACCTTAGGTGGTGTGAAAGGCATACCTTATGGCAAAGATGGCACTGCAGTGGTTTCACAGCTATCTCTTCCACGAGACTGATGCATGAGAGCAGAAAATGTGCCTCACATCCCTTTAAGGCCCATCTCAGTATAATCTAAGAGGAATTCTAAGGGAAAGGGGCTAAGCTAACTTGAGGTTACTAATTTTATGCCAAGGTTGCTGCCACACTACTGAAATAAATGTTGCATGAGTGGCTCTAAACCCTGCTATGAGTCCTCATTTATACAGGGACCTGCAGGCCATGTCCCACTTTCAATTGTACTCATACAGACTCATGACCCTGATTTCTGACACTTTTCTAGGAGGAAGACAAAGTAGAGTGGATCTTACCTTGCCTCCTGTGGAACTTCGTACAGCAAAGCAGAAGAGAGTGACAGGCTTGGTATTCCCCTCTATCTTGAACTCTGCAAAGGCAGCAGCATGGCCTTCTATGGGTTGTGAAACCTTCCTCTCCACAGAATAGAGCTGCATTGCTCCAACCACACGGTTTTGCTAAGTAAAGATATTTTGTGATGAAAGGAAGAGAAAACAGATAAACAAGCAATTCTGAAAACAAATGTTCCTAAAATGAAAGTCTCATACATTGACTTATTTCCTATAATAAATTATAAATCTACTAGCTATTTAAAATGCATGATACGCCAAGCAAAATCAGTCCCCAAAAGTCAAAGTTGAATGTTTTCTCTGATAAGTGGAAGCTAATCCAAAATAAAGGTAGGGGGAAGAAAGAAGGAGAAGGAGAAGGAGAAGGAGAAGGAGAAGGAGAAGAAGAAAGATCAGTGGAGTAGACAAAGGGGAATAAAGGAAGAGAGGAGGAATGGGATAGACAGTGGAATGAATCTGACCTAAATTTCCTATGTACATATATGAATATACCATAATGGAGCTCACCATTGTGTACATCAACAACACATTAATTTAAAAAAAAACTATAGGTAAGTAGCAGAAAGATCAGTAGAACCGAGGGAAGGACAAAGGGGGAAGGTGAAAGAGGAATTACTGAATTAGAATATTATATCCTGTGCTTTTATAATTATGTTGAAATTAATCCTATTATATATAACTAAAAAGAACCAATGAAAATAAACACATGATCTATACTCAAAGGACTTAAAAACAGCATATTACAGGGACACAGCCACATCAGTGTTTATAGCAGCACAAATCACAATAGCTAAATTATGGAACCAACCTAGAAGCCCTTCAATAGATGAATGGATAAAGAAACTGTGGTACATATACACAATGGAATTTTACTCAGCATTAAAAGAGAATAAAATCATGGTATTTGCAGGTAAATGGATAGAGTTGGAGAATATCAGATAAGTAAGTAAGTCAATCCCCCAAAATCAAAGGCTGAATGCTTTCTCTAACATGTGGATGCTGATCCAGAATGGGGGTGGGGGAGGATGGGAGGAATGGAGGAACTTTAGATAGGGGAAAGGGGAGGGGATGGGAGGAATAGAGAAACTTTAGATATGGCAAAGGGGAGGGGGGGAAGGGAGTGGGCATGAGGTAGGAAAGATGGTGGAATGAGATGGACATCATTACCCTAAGTACATGTATGAAAACACGAATGATGTGACTATACTTTGTGTATAATCCGAGACATGAAAAATTGTGCTCCATATGTGTACTATGAATTAAAGTGCATTCTGCTGTCATGTATAAAAAATTAGAATAAATAAATAAATTTTTAAAAATTATGCTAGAAATAGTTTACAGAATAAACATCAGTAATATGATGGAATGCAGTAGATAATGGGCCAGATTCCAGTTAGAATTATTTGATTGAAAGTTTGATTTCTTTGTAATCTATTTCTTTCAGTCTCAGGCCTACTTCTTCTGCCTTATACTTATACCAACCTCAAACAACTTAACCATTCCCCTCTAATATTAGACCTGTAATTTCATCCCCTGAAGCTTACCTGAGCTGAGATGCCAATAAGGAGCAGCCACTTCTGGTATTCATCAGTTCGGTAGTGGATCATCTGGCACCTAGCCAGACTAGCATGCCTATCAAACATCTTCATGGGCTGGGAGTCACCTTCCATGTTCCAGTGGTAGACCACGGTCTCAGTCACCAAGGCAATAGTGTTCACAGAGATCCATTTCCAAAATAACACCTCTTCTGCCATAGTATGAGACTTCATTTTACTCTTCAGCCCAATATTAAAGATTTGAAGAGTCTTCCCAGCTAGTATTTGATATTATAGAGATTAGAGAAAAATAAATTTAAAATAGAAAGGGCAAATTCTTATCCACTTAATTCTGAATCCTTTTAATATTACTCTAAATTGTAATATTTAAGTTAATCTGATTAACAAGAAAAAAGGCTGCTTGAGTAGTAATTGACCATATTTTGATGTCTAAATATTAAAAAGAACTTTCTATACATTAGATTCTTTATTTATTTTTTATTTTTTAGTTGTAGTTGGACCCAATACCTTTATTTTATTTATTTATTTTTATGTGGTACTGAGGATCAAACCCAGGGCCTTGCATGTGCTAGGCGAGTGCTCTGCCACTGAGCCACAACCCCAGCCCTACATTAGATTCTTCTTCAGAAGAATAACAACAAAAAATTAGTTCTATTGAAACAAGAAACAGTTTTAGATTGGTTTATTCTAGTTTTAAAACATGGTGTCTGGGGCTGAGGGTGTAGCTCAGTGATACATGTGCTTAGCATGTGAGAGGCCCTAGGTTCAATCCCCAACACCAAAATCCCTCCAAAACCCAAACCAACTTTTCTATATTAAGTTAACAAGAACATAAGATATACTTTATTTTCTATTTTTTTCTTTTACTTATTTATTACTTTAAATAGGGCTAGGGTTTGAACCCTTGGTGTTACACATTCTAAATACTTGACCACCAAGTCACACATCCTAAGCACAAGACATTCTTTTTTGTTTTGGTATCTCCACCTTTTGGGAAAGAACACAACCATACTTTCCTATTAAACCAATCTCTCCATATAATAGGGTTTACTTTGTTTTAAATTTTAGACTATTGTTGTCAAATAAAAATTTCTACAATGTTGTAAATATTCTAAATTTGCACTATTCACAGTGTACACTAGATGTATGTGGCTATTATTAGTCATTTGAAATGTATCTAATGAAACATATTTCAGGGACAGAGATTTTACTTTTATTTAACTAAACAGTCATGTGGACAGATAGGACAGCACAACTTTTTTAAAAAAAATTATTTCTTACATGTGTGACAATAATGGAATGCATTACATTCATAATTATCCATTCACAGCACAATTTTTCATAACTCTGTATATAAAGTATGTTCACACCAAATTATGCCATTATACATGAACTCTTTTTTTTGCACTACAATTCTTGATACACCTTTATACCACAATTTATCATATCTCTGTATATAAAGTATGTTAACACCAGATGCATATCTTCATACATGTATTTTTTTTCGAGAGAGAGAATTTTTAATATTTATTTTTTAGTTTTCGGTGGACACAACATCTTTGTTTGTATGTGGTGCTGAGGATCGAACCCGGGTCACACGCATGCCAGGCGAGCTCGCTACCACTTGAGCCACATCCCCAGCCCCGATACATGTATTTTGTGTAATGATGACCATCACCTTACACCGTCCTTGCTACTCCCCTTCCCACTCCCTTTCCCTCCCACCCCTCTTCCCTATCTAGAGGTAATCTTCCTCCCATGCTCTCCCTCCCTACTTAACTTTGAGTCAACCCCCTTATATCAGAGAAAACATTTGGCATTTTTTTGGGGRGGATTGGCTAACTTCACTTAGCATAATCTTCTCTAATGCCATCCATTTACCTGCACATGCCATGATCTTATTCTTTTTTAGTGCTGAGTAAAATTCCATTGTGTATAAATTCCATATATTTTTTATCCATTCATCCACTGAAGAACATCTTGGTTGGCTCCACAGTTTAGCTATTGTGAATTGTGCTGCTGTAAACATTTATGTAGCTTAGGATAGCAAAACTCTTGACAAGAATTTAGTATCCAACTTCTGACAAGAGATTCATATTGTTTTCAACATTGGCAATGAGCTGATTTCTGATTTTGGAATCTATGTAAAACTTAGAGCTATCTGGGTATGGTGGTGCAGTTCTGTAATCCTAGTGATTTGGGAGGCTGAGGAAAGAAGATTGTGAGTTGGAGGCCAGCCTCAGTAACTTAGTGAGACCCTGTCTCAAAATAAAAAATTAAAATGGCTGGGGATGTAGCTCAGTGGTAGAGCACCCTTGGCTTCAATTCTCAGAACCAGGGGGGACTCTTAGTGGTAACATGAAATATTGAAATATTGCTCCCTACTAAGATCATGAGCAAGACAAGGGTTAATTCTCTAACCAATTATTTTGATATCATACTGAATATAATAGCCAGTGAGACAAGGCAAAAAAATTTTTTTTAAAAAGTAATAGAAAACCTCTCTTTTTTCAGAGATAGCATAATTATTTACAAAGAAAACACCAAGGAATTAAATATCCCCAAAACAATTCTTAGAATAGGTAAATATAGCAATGTTGCAGAATACAAGGTCAATATATAAAAACATTGAATTTTGAAATTCTAGCAGCAAACTGAAAATAAATTTTAAAATAATGCCACCAAAAACATAACTTTTAGAAATAAATTTAAAAGATATGCAAAACTTCTGCAATATAAAGCATAAAATGTGTCCAAGAAAAGCTTAAATTAAAAAAGGTGCATGGATCAGAACACTTACTAAGATGTTATTTCTCCCCGAATTTATCTATAGGTTCAGTGCGATCCCAACTAAAATCTCAGCATCCTTAAAAACAAAAAACAAAACAAACAAACAAAAAAACAACTTTTTGTAGTTGTAGATGGACAGAATGCCTTTATTTGTTTATTTTTTATGTGGTGCTAAGGATTGAACTCAGTGCCTCACAAATGCTAGGCAAGTGCTCTGCCACTGAGCTACAATCCCAGCCCAAACATCCTTTTTAAATTTAAGTATAAAATGCTGATTCTAAAATATATATGGAAATATAGAGGATAAAGAACAGTCATAAAGATTTTAGAAAAGAACAAAGTTGGAAGATTTACTACACCTGACTTAAATACTATAATGATACAGTAATAAAATGTGTTATGGCCATAAGCATAAACTTACAGATCAATGAAAAAGAATTGAAATAGCTATATGCAATTGAATTGGCAAAGGTGAGAAGAAAAAAATATTCACATGGAATCTCAAGAGGACTTGAAATAGCCAAAATAATCTTGAAAAAGATCAAAGGTGGAGATCTCATACATCTGGACTTAAAACTTATTACAAAGTTAGATGTCATTAGGAATATAAAAAGAAAACTACATACAGAGAGAAAATATGTATAATCACAGAGCCAACCAATAATTTATTTTTTTTAATATTTATTTTTTAGTTTTCGGTGGACACAACATCTTTGTTTGTATGTGGTGCTGAGGATCGAACCCGGGCCGCAGGCATGATAGGCGGGCACGCTACCACTTGAGCCACATCCCCAGCCCCCCAACCAATAATTTATATTCTGAATGTAGAAAGAAATGTTATAATTCAATAAGACAAATACATGCTTAAGAAATGGGTTAATGGCTCTGGGTTGAAGGAGGTGGGAGGGAATAAGTTGCAAAAGATGTTGTTAAGAGCGTACTAGAAAATTACAGCTTACCTATTCCCTGTATGCTATGTGCATTTCATTAACTTTGCTGTAATGGACAAAGGAGTCCTAATTTTATAATATACAGTCCCTACTAAGAGTTTGCCAAAGTATGACAAAAACAGAGTTAGTAAACACGTTTTGTACAGAAACGCAGACTTCTGAGAAGGACTTTTTGAAGTGAAATTCTAATATCACACCTGAGTGATATATATGCCTATATCACATGTGATACAGGAGAGAAGGAAATGGAAGAAATGAAGGATTCTAGGCCAGAATAACCATTGTTATATGTGTGTAGTTTATTCAACACTACTTTGTATAACTGAAGTCCATATTTGAAAAATATAGTCTTTCTTGATGTTTAGAAGTGTACAAAGTATGTTAAAAGTAGAGGTAGCAAGTAAAACATTTTTCGAGGAAAAAACTGGTTAATGGGCTGGGCACAGTGGTGCATGCCTATAATTCCAGCCACTCGGGAGGCTAATGCAGGAGGATCACAAGTTTGAGGCCAGCATCAGCAACTTAGTGGGATCCTAAGCAACATAGCAAGACCCTGTTTCTAAATAAAAAGAGCTGTGAATATGGTTCAGGGGCAAAGTGCCCCTGGTTTTAATTCCCCAGACCAAAAAAAAAAAAAAAAAAAAAAAAAGAGGGAGTGAATATATATAAGATCTTTATCACACATTGATCCGTTTGTTTTTATAATTCTTTGTAAAAAGCATTTTTAGATTCAGGGTCTAAATAAAAATCAGGCAGTTTGCTAATCTCTCAGTTATAATATTAGTGTTCTAGTAAATGATGAACAACAAATGAAACATTCTACAGCATTTTATGATCTTTTGGTTAAGGGCAAAAATATGTCTCCAGTTCTAAAGTATTCACCATGAATCCCTGAGCAGATAAGATGTGAAGAGGGACTGGCTTTTCCAGAAGACCTGGCAACCACGTGTTCAAAGGATCTTGGTTACATGGCCAGGTACAAGGACAGGTACAGGGTACAAGGTCAGATTAGGTCATCAAGAGGAGGGTAGTGCTACCACAAGGGGATACCCTTGTCTTGAATCCTTTTGAAAATTTAGATCCACTTTCTGTGCTACCTAGGGAAAAAGGGTCATTACAGCATTGTTCTTGATTTCCATTGTAATTTAAAGGGAAATTGTCACTGTTATGGGATGATTTGAAAATTAGCCCCGACTTAACCTTATTTTGCTCAGACACCTCATCCTATGTGAAATTGGCTTCTCTTCCACATGAGCCTATTGCATAAAGCTAATACCTCCACCCCCACTTACTTGCATCCTGACCACAATATCCTTGCTTTATGGGACTAATGCAAAATTGTTTTTCTGAGTATGAAATTTCTGAGAGTATGATTATATGACTCTTTTTTGGTAACTTTCCATTTGTATGAAATGTACTTTACGATTATGATTGCTTCCCCTGCAAACTTTTTATAGTTTTAGACCTTATAAGCATGTTACTGCCCCCAATCAGGGTCGAGGGTTGCACAACTGCTTGCTGCTCTCTTGGCCCTGGATGGAAATAAAACTTTTGTCTTTATCTTAAAAGGCCCTAGAGAATTATTTATAAATTTGGGAATAACACCTTAACTTCACAATGTCTGGAGGCCTTGATGTCCTGCAAATGAGGAAGGAGGATGTCCCCAAATTCCTTGCAGCAGGAACCCACTTATGTGGCACCAACCTTGATTTCTAGATTTCTAAATGGAACAATATATCTAAAAAGGAAAAGTGATGGCATCTATATCATAAATTTGAAGAGGACCTGGGAGAAGCTTCTGCTGGCAGCTCGTGCCATTGTTGCCATTGAAAATCCTCCTGATGTCAGTGTCAAATCCTCTAGGAATACTGGCCAGTGAGCTGTGCTGAAGTTTGCTTCTGCCATGGAGCCACTCCTATTGCTAGCTGCTTCACTCCTGGAACTTCACTAACAAGGCAGCCTTCTAGGAGTCATGTCTTCTGGTATTTACTGGTTTCAGGACTGACCACCAGTCTCTTACAGAAGCATCTTATGTCAACCTGCCTACCATTGCTCTGTGTAACACAGATTCTCCTCTGTGCTATGCGGATATTGCCATTCCATTCAATAAAGGGAACTCACTCTGTGGATGTGATGTGATGGATGCTGGCCCCAAAAGTTCTGTGCATGCATGGCACAATTTCCTGTGAACACCCAGGGCAGGTCATACCTGATATTTACTTCTACAGAGATCCTGAAGAGAATGAAAAAGAAGAGCAGGCTGTTGCTGGAAAAAATTGTGACCAAGGAGAAATTTCAGGGCAAAGGGACTGCTCTAGCTCTTGAGTTTACTGCTACTCAACCTGAGGTTGTAGACTAGTCTGAAAGTGTGCAGGTACCCTTTATGCATATCTAAACAGTTCTTTACTGAAGACTGGAGAGCCTGGCAGCCACTGAAGACTGGTGTGCAGCTCCCACTGCTCAGTCCAGAGAGAACAACCACTTAGTGGTCTTGAGCTGTTCTTCTGTAGACACTTCAGCAAAAAGTAGAAATAAATTTATGGAAAAATAAACACTTGTTTCTTTTAAAAAAAAAAAAAAGAGGCCATTTTCCAATTACAAGACCTCACTGGGCCAAATGAGGTGGTTCACGAGATTCAAGATGAGACCCCTTCACTTCCTTGCTTTACCAGTACCTGTGGAAACCAGTTATGATTTGAAATGAAATGACAGTGCTGGAAGAGCTTATTTGTAAGTCAATGATCTCTGTAATTCAATTACCACACAAACACTTTTCTTTTTTAATTGTTTTTAGTGTTGAGGATTGAATAAAGGAATATTCTGCCACTGAGCTACATCTCCAGCACTTTTCAATTTCCATTTTGAGACGGGTCTTATTAAGTTGAAGAGGCTGGCCTCCAACTTGAAATCCCCCTGCCTCAGTCTCCCAAGTCACTGGGATTACAGAGGTGTGCCACCATGTCCAGCAAATATCTTCTTTTTAAAATACATTTTTGGTGGGCTGGGGCTGTAGCTCAGCGGCAGAGCACTTGCTTAGTGCATGTGAGGCACTGGGTCCAGTCCTCAGCACCACATAAAAATAAACAAATAAAATAAAGACATGCTGACTATCTACAACTATAAAAAATAATTTTTGCTTATTTTTATCTAGAGTTTTTAAAATACACTATACATCTTCCATGTGCCAAAAATCTGTACTACAAGAATCTGAAATCAACCAACAGCCACAAAATTTAAGTAAAAATAGCAGAAAGCCTTAAATTGAATCTCTGTTTCCATAACTTCACATTTTCCTATACAAAACAACACTTAACATTGCTACAGATGAAGAAATTCATATGAAGTATGTGGGGGTGTGTCCACATAAAGGCCATGCTGGTCTCTTGATGGACAGAAACCATCTCATAGAATGCCAACTTTAGACAAAGACTCTCTTAAGACTAGGTTACAGGGAGATATCAAAGCAAGGCTGCTTTGAATTCTGTCTAAGAAGACAAAAACAAGGCTACTGTGCAATCTGCAAACTAACAACACTCCTCCTCCTATAGCTAGAACAAGTGACACGCTACTTCTTTACCAATTACAGCTTTTAAAATATTGTTATACATATATACATTTATATATATATTATATATATATATATAATATATATATTTATATATATATATAAAACAGTCCAATATATTTTGATATATTAATACAAGCATGGAATACATCTTATTCTAATTAGGATCCCAGTCTTATAGATGTACATGATGTTGAGATTCACTCTGGTGTATTCATATATGTACATAGGAAAGTTATGGCAGATTCATTCCACTCTTTTTCCTACTCCTATCCCCCCTTCCTTCCCTTCATTCCCCTTTGTATAATCCACTGAACTTTTATTCTTCCCCTCCCTTCCTTGTTGTGGGTTAACATCTAGATATCAGAGAGAACATTCAATCTTTGGTTTTGGGTGACTGGCTTATTTAGCAGATAGTCTCCAGATCCATCCATCCAAATGTACTAATGTCATTCTTCTTCTTTATGGCTGAGTAATATTCTATTGTGTACCACAATTTCTTTATCCATTCATTTGTTGATGGGCATCCACCAATTATAGCTTTATCCCCTCTGGTCTTCCTTTTCTCATAGATAAGATTCCTTGAGATGCCCTATCACAAAATCACCCCCACTTTCTGAAAATATCTAATCTATAGCAAATCTCTGCTTCCTTAGACTATCCTACAAATCATACAACTAAAGCCAAAATTCTAAATAAGGTTCTTAACTTATACCCTCTTACTGAGGTATACCCTAGTTTCATGCAGTGTGTGTTCTCTCACTGTATAACCAGAGTAATAAACCCAACTTGTTCAACTGCACGCATGTTGCTGGTGGTATTGGCTAGAGGGGGATGGCATCATCTAAGTACTATATTCTCTCTAGAAATTTTTACACACACACACACACACACAAACACACCAAAAGATCCACAATGCACAATATTAAAGAGAATTGTGCTGGAGAACCAGGAAAAGGCAGGTCATTTCTGGTACTTGCTGTGAATACAAAATAACAACATGCTACATAAGATCTCTCTAGAATGATTTAAAATACAGAAAGAAAAACCAACAAGGGGAGAATGCCATAAAAAAATAGCCAAGGCATAAGTGACAAAGTAAGAGAAATAGAATCATTAAGTTCATAAATTTAATACTTTTTTCAATTAAAATTAAAACAGTTTACACTGCTTATACTACATGTTCAAAAAAAAAAAACCAAAAACCAAAAAACAAAACTTTGACAAAGCCAGGCATAGTAGTGCACACCTGTAATCCAAGTGGCTGAGGCAGGAAGATCGCAAGTTCAAAGCCAGCTTCAGCAACTTAGTGAGCCCCTGAGCAACTCAATAGGACCCTGTCTCAAAAAAAATAAATAAATAAAAGGACTGGGATGTGCCTCGGTGGTTGAGCAGTTGAGCATCCCTGGGTTCAATCCCCAGAACCCCCCACCCCCCAAAAAAMCCCAACTTTGACAAGACTTCAAGGAAAATGGTAGACTTGGTAACAAAACAAAGATCTTTTGAATACAAAAACTTCAGTTATTTCTTTTTAAATAGAGGTCCTAACTTCCAGATGTCCTTATACCTACTGAAATGACAAAGTAGGCCCTATTTCTACAACAAAATAGAAGCTAAGGCAAAGCTAATATTTGGCATTCACAACATTTTTTAATGTCTTTATTTTATTTATTTATTTTGTAGTTGTAGATGGACAGAATACCTTTATTTATTTAATTAATTTTTATGTGATACTAAGGATCAAACCCAATGCCTCATGCATCTTGGCAAGTGCTCTGCCTCTCAGCTACAGCCCCAGCTCTAATGCCTTTATTTTACTTGTTTATTTTTTTTTTTACATATTTTTTTAGTTGTCAAAGGATCTTTATTTTATTTATATGCAGTGCTGAGAATCAAACCCAGTGTCTCATACATGATAGTCAAGTGCTCTACCACTGAGCTATAGCCTCAGTCCCATATTTGTTTATTTTTATATGGTGCTAAGGATTGAATCCAGTGCCTTACCTGTGCTAGGCAAGCACACTGCCAGTGATTAGAGCCCCAGCCCATTCACAAATTTTTGGTCCAAAAATAGTTTTTATTTTTCAAGGTAAACAATTTTACATAAAACATTCACAAGTCCACTCTGTACAAAATTCCTTCATTTCCAAATCAAGGCAGTATGAAAAGATTCTATATTTTTCAAATTAACCTGAAAGTTTTTCATACCCAATGTTTCCTGTGTTCAGAGAAGTGAAATTCTATTAATGATCAGCTCTCCTTTCATGAGAGAGGGAGGTTTTTTGGCTTCTTCTCAGGATGCCTAGAGCATCCTTGTAGCAGGCCCTGACATGAGGGTACCACAGAGCCCTCTTTATGAGCACACATGGTACTGCTCTGGATTTCCAGACCTATGAAGACAAGGTCCTAGGCATTTGTTCCCTCTCAGTGTGTCTGGCACAGTAGGTGACATTACAAAGCCGCTCTGGTTCTCATGGACTTCTTACAAGGGCACACTAAATATAGGTTCTGCTAAAATTTTTGGAATCAGGTTGAATACTACTTATGACACCTCACTGTGAGTTTACTGACACTTGTCTAATACATAAGGTAACAAAGAAGGTACAGTGAAATAAAATTCCTTTCTAAAAATATGTTGGGCTTACCTTTCAGAGCTATCACTTTAGAAGCTGGATTCATGATGGCACTCTCTGCTGAGATAGGATGTCTGATGGGTGCCATTGGGTCATTCATGTCAATAATCACCACTTGTGCCTGCTCCCCGACTTTCTCTCGGACACATATGAACTTGTCAGACTCCATAGTCAGTGTGCTAAATCCAATATTGGCTGGATTTATTCCTAGGTTTGGGAGCTAAATAGAGAAGAACCTTTGATTAAAGTAAGCTTTTCCTTTCTGAAAGAGATTATCTCTAGCCTAGTGTTAGCAAAGTCTAACAGAAGGAAGAGGAAAATGTATACTAGAGTTTAGAAAAAACTTAACATTAAGTAAATATTTAAGGAAAACATAGGTTTTCCTTTCTATACTTGTAATAGTAACAGTCCAAAGGTCAAGAGAAGCCCTTGAGTTAACTTTCAAGGGGCTTAAAATCTGCAGAGGTGACAAGGCATGTGTAAGAATAAAGATAGTACCAGGGAGTATAAAGGTTGCCATAAGAGACACAGAAAGAGATGAGCTGGAGGGAGCCCACAAAAAACACCACCAGAGAAGGCACAGAGAAGTTCATCACTGAGGAGAGCTTTTGGGAGCTTCAGGGGAAGAAAATGGGGAAAAGAGGAGACACAAATACTGGTTTCTCTAAAAAGCAAGTAAAAAGAAAAATTATTTAGGAATTTGTTTAAAACATCTCCCTAGACATCATTAAGTCTGCCTAAATCTGATTTTCACTTATAAAAACCAAAACTAGGCAACTTTCTCCAAAGGCCAGCATATGAGAGTACCTGGATTAAATAAGACCTACTAATGGGATTTGCAACAATGAAATTCCCCAGAAAAACACATATTTAAGAAGCATACATAAAGAACCTATAAAGAACCATGTCTATTTCTATAAATTCCCCTGCCTCAACAAGCTACCTTTATTTTCACTTTATTTATTATTTGAAATGGGGTCTTGCTGTGTTGCCAAAGCTGGTCTGAAATTTCTAGGCTCAAGTGATTCTCCTGAGTCAGCCTCAGTGGCAGAGTAAGGGGAGGCTGCCACTGAATCAGCCAGTAACTGGGACTACAAGCACATGCCATTGAGAGGAGCTTTTCTTTGTGTTTTGTTTTGCAGAGCGGGGGATTGAACCCAGGGCATCCTGCATAACAGACCACTGAGTGTTCTATAACTCCAGAAGTTCTTTTTTTAAATTAATTAATTAATTTGTTTATTTAAACTAGGTATATATGACAGCAGAATGCATTCTGATTCACTGTACACAATTTTCGCACAACTTTTCATTTCTCTGGTTGTACATGATATAGCATCATACCATAAGTGCAGTTAACACATGTATCTAGGGTAATGATGTCCATCTCATTTCAGACCTTCTTTTATTTTTAAACATTGTTCAGTTCAATCCCATACCTACTGCTATTGTTTTGACCTTTTAACATCTGTTTCCTTGTGTAAACTTGTGTAAGTTTATTCCACCTACAAAGATAATGAACCCCTTGTTTAAAAATATCTACCACCTTTTGGAAGGAACAAGAATGAGACTGTTCATACTGTTGGTATAATTTTTTATTGGCATAAAAACAGACATAAAGACCAATATAATAGAATAGAGGACCCAGAAATAAACCCATGCATTCAAACCATCTAATTCTCAACAAGAGTCAAAAACATATACTGGAGGGGCTGGGGTTATAGCTCAGAGGGGGAGTACTTGCCTAGTTTGCAAACTAGTAAAGTCACTATGGAAATAAATATAAAGATTCCTCAAACAAAACAAAAATAGAACTACCATATGATCCAGCTACACCATTCCAGATATATATCTGAAGGAATCAAAGTCAGTATACAATAGATATATCTGCATACTCATGTTTATCGTGACACTATTTACAATAGTTAAATTCCAAATTGAGCCTAGATGCCCATAAATAGATAAATGGATAAAGAAAATGTAGTATGTATACATAACGGAGTATTATTTAAACATAAAGAACAACAAAATCATGCCATTCTTATGAAAATGAATGGAACCAGAGATCATCATGTTAAGTGAAATAAGCCAGATTCAGAAAGGCAAGTATCACATGTTTTTTTCTCATATGTGAAACTAGAAGGGGGGGAAAAAGACAACACAAAAGGGGAACTATTCGGAAAACAAAGGAAAGGCTACTGTAAGGAGAGGGTAGGCAGGGTAAGAGAAAGTAATAGGAAGGTACAATCTTCTCCCCTGAAATCCATTAGATTTGTGAACTCTTTGAAAAGAAAATCATGAATACTTGCAGTTGAAATGGGCTCACTTAAGAAGTCACACCAAATCAATCTCACTTTGTTTCTTCTTTTTTTCTTCTTCTTATTTTTTTTTTTCAGTACAAGGAATTGAACCCAGGAGAACTTAACCACTGAGTCACATCCCTATCCCTTTTTTTCATATTTTATTTAGAGACAGGGTCTCGATGAGTTGCTTAGTATCTTGCTAAACTGCTGAGGCTGGCTTTCAACTCGTGATCCTTCTGTCTCAGCCTCCTGAGCCACTGGGATTATAGTCATGTGCCACCCACCCAACTCAACCTCATTTTCTTGAAAGCAAAAGTAATAGAATAAAATTTCATTTCAATAAGCGATCTAGCTTAGGTCTGCTAAGGTAGCTTAAAGTAATTGTATAGACATTAAATTCTCATTGTAAGACTTTTATCTATGGCACCTTTATAGTATACAGAGCTTTGTTTGTATTAGTTTCTTCTCGAAGTAAAAGTCAAGTCTCATCATTTGGATCCATTAAAACATTCAGCATTGGCTGGGGGATATAGCTTGGTGATATGGGACATCCCTAGCATGCACAAGGCCCTAGATCCAATCCTCAATACCACACACAGACAAAAACAAAGGAAAAACTTTAGCACAGAAAAGCCCAAAAAACACATGAAACAAAAGGCTCCTGGAATGAGATAGAGAGAGAGGCATGGAGCAAGCTTATATACAATCAGAAGTTCAGTTGAACCACACCCCATTGGCATAGACCATATGTATCACTGTCTATCTGATGCTGAGTCCCAATACTCTGACTTTAACCATCTGCTAGTCAATATTTTGAACAATTACTGTGGTCATTCATTCCTCATATCAGGAATGATTTTATTATTATCTGCTAAAGGGATACTGTCAACATAAGAGGCCAACCTGAATAGGTCTGAAAGGACTATAAAATAAAAAAGATAAAATTACACAAATTCAAACAAATAGTACATTTGTGTTAAATATCAAAAAATAGGATCAAGATAACCAGCCACAGTGGCACTAAAATAAAATGTCAATCATATGTAGTATGAGCCTTCTTTGGATGCTAATTCAAATAAACCAAATAGATAAAATAATTGATATAAAAGAGAAATTTACACTGACAAGATACTGAATAACACTGGGGGATGACTTTTTTTTAGATGCAATAATGTTGTTAGAGTACATGTTAAAAATAAAAGTTTTAATGTACATTGATGGGTTAAGAGATATAGTAGATACATATAACTGGATTATTACTTAGCCTTAAAAAGGATGGAAATTCTGACACATATAATTTCACAGATGAACTCTGCTATAGTTTTGTTAAGAGATGTCTCACAAATTCTCATGTGTGAGACAACACAAGAATTTTCAGAAATGAAATGATCAGATTACGAGATATGACCTAATCAGTCACATGCAGGATTAACTGGGTGTAACTGTAGGCAGGTAGGGTGTGGCTGGAGGAAGTAGGTCACTGGGGATGTGACTGTAGGATTTATATTTTGTCCCTAGCAAGCACAGCTCTTTTTGCTTCTTGGTTGCCATGTCCTGAGCTGCTTCTCTTTTCCACACCTTTCTGTCATGATGTTCTGCCTTTCCTCAGGCCCAGAGCAATAGATTTGGCTGACCATACACTGAATCTCTGAAACTATGAGCCAAAATAAACTTTTCCTCCTCCAGGTTGCTCTTGTCAGGTCTTCTAGTCATACTAACAATAAAGCTGAGAAAAATAAACTCTGAGGTCATTACACTGAATGGACAGTCAGTCACAAAAAAGACCAATGTTGCATGCATGAGTCCATTAATATGGGGTACCTAGATTAGTCAAATTCACAAAGATAGAAGAAAGAAGAATGGTGGTTACCAGGGACTTGGGAAGAGCAGGAATGGGGAGTCAGTATTTCAGTGTTGTAAGATGAAAAAAGTATGGGAAATGGACAGTGGTGATGGTTATATGACAATTTGAATGTGTTAAGTGTACTGAATTGTACACTTAAAAATGGTTAAGACAGGTGAAGCTGGGAGTTCACTGATATAGCACTTGCCTAGCATGTGCAAGGCCCCAAGTTTAATCTATTGCACTGTAAAAAAAATGGTTAAGATAGTAAGTTTTATATGTACTTTATCACAATAAAAGAAAGTGGAAAAAATAATCAAGAGTTCTCTTTTGGAGATATAGCCTCAAATAAGTAAGAATGAAATAATCTGGTAGTGAGAAGGCACATAACTGAAACAGGTATTAGTAAGCAACTATTATCTTTTCAACCAATTCAAGTTTTTCYAGGATATAGAAGAACAGGAATGAAAGCTCTTTGGACAGAGCTGCACACTCAAGTGGGTCTAGGTTTTCTGTTATCATTTCATTCTCAGTTTAGGGATGTACATTGGTTTAATATTGTGACATCCTGATCACTGCAAATATAACTGAGAATTTGTAATCCTGAAGAATTTGTATTCAATATGTTAGGTATAGTAGGTTCTAAAATATTAGTAGTTATTTTCCTTATCCAAGAGAATATATGCATGTTTATACCAAATATCACTGATATTTCCCAGAGGAGTAATTGCCCAAAGTTGAGGGTTTCTGTTTGTTCAGTTTTGGTTTTTTCCAGTACTGGGGATCAAACTCAAGGCCTCACACATACTAGGCAAGTACTCTGCCATAGAGCTGTATCTCCAGAACTTTTTATTTTCTATTTTAAGACAGGGTCTTGATAAGCTGCCCAGGTTGGACTCAAACTTATAATCTTCCTGCTTCAGTCTCCCAAGTAGTTGAGATTACAGGTGTGAGGCACAGTACCCAGCTTCATTTTTTGAAAAACAGTTTTTTTTCACTTTAACCAAGGATTTTGATCCCTAATATATAATCATTTGGGTAGGTAAACTAGCTACACATTTTAAATGGTCCATATACATTGAATTAACCAAAGGTGGAAAAGTCAAAAATTTTTTTTTCAGTACTGGTGATTGAACCTAGGGGTGCCTTACCCCTGAGCTACATCCCTAGCCCTTTTCATTTTTGGTTTGGAGACAGGGTTTCACTAAGTTACTGAGGCTGGCCTCAAAATTTTTTTTCAAAAAAGTATTTATTTTTTAGTTATAGGTGGACACAATATCTTTATTTTATTCGTATATGGTGCTGGGGATCAAATCCAGTGCCTCACACATGGTAGGCGAGCGCTCTACCTCTGAGCTACAGTCCCAACCCAGGCCTCAAACTTTTAATCCTCCTGCCTCAGCTTCCTGAGTAGCTGGGACTACAGGCATGCACCACCAATCATGGCTTGATAAGTCACTAACAGTTCTCAAAACCTACAATTAAATCAGATGTGGTGTCCCAGGTTGGTGTCTGTCTGTCTGTCTGTCTGTCTSTCTCTCTCTCTCTCTCTCTCTCTCTCTCTCTCTCTCTCTCTCCTTCCTGGCTACCATGAATTGAGCAGTTTTACTTTGACATGCCCTTCTGCCATGATATACTGCCCCACCACAAGCCCAGAAACAACAGAGCCAGTCAACCATGGACTGAAACATTAGAAACCATAAGCCAAAATAAATCTTTACCTCTCTGAGTTGTTTTTCTTGGGTATTTTATCAAAGAGACAAAAAGCTGTCTAATATACTTTCCCAGCTTCATTCACTGCTTTGTCCTACCTAGCACACAGATGTTAAGTAATCAGTACAGAAGATTCTTTTCTAGGAGTCAGATTCAGTTCATATGCAGTTTCTTATGTTTTTATACCAAATTTACCAACCAACTTTTCCTAGCTTAAAAAGGAAGCTAGCTCACTCAGTCAATGAGGGCCTATGAAGAATAATGATACTCAGGTATTTGCCAGAACTTACATTCTACAAGTAGGTTAGTTTAGGGATAGTTAAATAATGACATTTATATAGTATTTTAAGAGAGCCTCTCTCAAGTTACATCCCTACAAGTTTTCTGTATTTTAAAACTAATGCATAAGACTCTATATTTATACCTGTTAAATGTCAACCAGCTGGATTCTAGCCTGTCAAGATCTGTTTGGATTCTAATTTTGTCACTGAACTTTGCTGTCCCAGCTTTGTGATATCCTTCTTCAGCCAGCCAAAAGCGATGGTAATCTCTCTGGCACAGAGGCACCAGGAGGCCTTGAGCAGGAGAAACAGAAGAGAATGTGAGAGAAAAGACTGAAAGCTGCAGACTCAGTGAAGTATAGAGAAGAAACAATCAAGAAGAGCAGGGGCAGGCAAAGAAATACTTAAGAGGATGGGGTGACAGGGTTCCAAAAGTTATTGCCTGAGGAGTATATCAGTAAACAATTCTGTTGAACATATACTATGATGGGATGTAATCTTAAGGGAAGATCTTCACACTGCATTAAGTTATAAAATCAAAGGGCAGAAAAATAATATTTTTAATCATTTTTGGAAAGACACAGTGACTTCCTTAATAGGGACTTTCTCTGGTGAGAGGAAGCCAGAGGTTAAACAAAAAAACTTTATTTTCCATTTACAATTTCTACTTGGGGCTCTTAGTCCCATGTATGTGCATTACTTTAAAGCTTATTCTAAACTATGGCCCACTGCATAATCATAATGCTGAAATACCTGAGAAGTGAGAAGAACTTTTTTTTTTTAGTACTGGGGATTGAACTCAGGGAGCACTCAACCATTGACCCACATCCCATTCCTACTTGGTATTTTTAATTTAGAAACAGGGTATCTCACTGAGTTGCTTAGCGCCTTGTGTGAGAAGAATTTTGACTAAGATTTTCCTAAGACTTAATAACTCTTTCAACTTAAAAACTCAAAATGTACTGGGAATCTCATGCAGTTTAGGGATCAAAACATTTGAACATATTCTATGGCGATAATTTATTTTCCCCAAAAGTCCCCATTCAAGTTCATTAACTATTTGGTCACTCACAATGCCATGGTAATGGGCACCTTCATAAGGCTCACCCTCCAGATACCCCAGCTGATGCAGGTGCCTATTCTTTGTTTGTAAATTACAAAGTCAGAGAGGGTAAATAACTGGCCAGTATGTATTTTCAATACCAGGAGTATCAGTCCATTTGTAGGCAAAACTTACCAACTTATACAATACCTTAAAAAAAGTTTTACATGGGTGTGCAAAAATTTTAGGACCCAATGAACCAACTACTGTCTTAGTATATAAACACCATTTCAAGAAATGAAGCTGGGTGCAGTGTTGCCCACCTGTAATCACTCCTAGCTACTTAGGAACCCGAGGCAGGAGGATCACAAGTTCAAGGCTAGCTGGGCAGGTTAGCAAGATCTTGTCTTAAAACAGAAAAATTTAAAAATAAACAAAAAGTATGTGTGTGGGGGAAACTAGGGATGTAGCTGAGTGGCAGAGTGCCCCTGGGTATGATCCCCAGTAAGGGGGAGGCAGAAATAACTACCTAATGGCAATGTAAACCAAACCAATTGGGCTTTGGGAGCTCCAGCCCATCTCTAAGAGATTCTGATTGAATAAGCACAGGTATTTTTTTTGTGTGTGTGTGGAGGGTACCAGGGATTGAACCCAGGAGGGTACCAGGCACTCAGCCACTCAGCCACATCCTCAGCCCCTCTTCTTTTACTAAATTATTAATTTATTCTAATTTGTTATACATAATGGCAGAATGCAATTAATTTCATATTACACGTATAGAGCACAATTTTTCAAGACACTGATTATACACAAAGTATTTTCACATCATTCGTGTCTTCATACGTGTACTTACGGTAATGATGTCTAACTCATTCCACCATCATTCTTACCCTTTTGCTTCCTCCCTTCCCCTCTCTCCCCTTTACCCCATCTAAAGTTCCTCCATTCCTCCCTTACTCCCCCCTCCCTCCCACCCTGCCCATTGCCATTATGAGTCAGCATCCTCATATCAAAGAAAACATTAGTCTTTGTTTTTTTTAAATTTTTAATATTTATTTTTTAGTTCTCGGTGGACACAACATCTTTGTTGGTATGTGGTGCTGAGGACTGAACCCGGGCTGCACGCATGCCAGGCGAGCACGCTGCCGCTTGAGCCACATCCCCAGCCCAGTCTTTGTTTTTTTTTTTTTTTTGAGATTGGCTTGCTTCACTTAGCATTATATTCTCCATCTCCAACTTCATCCATTTACCTTCAAATGCCATGATTTTATTCTCTTTTAATGCTGAGTAATATTCCATTGTGTGTGTGTGTGTGTGTATGTATACACACACACACACACACACACACCAAAGTTTCCCTATCTATTCATCTACTGAAGGCTCAGCCCTTTTTTTTTTTTTTGTATTTTATTTAGAGACAGGGTCTCACTGAGTTGCTTAGCACCTCCCCATTGCTGAGGCTGGCTTTGAACTGGCAATCCTCCTGTCTCAGCCTCCTAGCCACTGGGATTACAGGCTGAGCCACTGTACCCAGCATCGTAAGTATTTTTAAAGCTCCTGAGCATTCTCACATTCTTTCCGGGAGAGCAGCATAGGTTAAGAACTGTGGTCATCATTCTCCCACAACTTACATAATTCACCACATTATACCTTTTTAGAATATCACTGTAGTACATAGGGATAAACTACATAATTAAAGTTTTTTTTTCCAGTGCTAGAGATCAAACCCAGGGCCTTGCATATGCTAGGCAAGTGCTGTACCACTGAGCTATGCTCCTAGCTCAAAACTTTGATGGAACACATTTTTGCTTTCTGTACACTGAGCTGTCCATTAATACAGGTTACAAACTTGAAGCTGCTTTTCCCTCTGCCTCAGTACTAGGGATTAAACTCAGGGCCTCAAAATGCTAAGCAAATGCTCTACCACTGAGCTACATTTCCAGCTCTTTTAAGTTTTTTATTTTAAAACAGGGTCTCACTAAATTTCCCAAGCTGGTATTGAACTTTTTCCTGCCTCAGCCACCAGAGATTATAGGAGGCCACTATGTCCAGCTGCAGGTGCTTTTTGATATAGCTGGGAGAAAACAGCTCATCATAAAACTTCTATACCACCAAATCATTCAATTATTCTTCTTCTGAATCAAGGTGTACAAGTTTTAAGCCCTTCAGCTCTTTTACATGCTCAAACATCACAAACAGAAACTAGCTTCCACATCAGATATTTGAATATAACAACATTCCAAATCAGATATTTGAATATAAAACAAAAGTTTAAGTAGCACTTCCCTGGCCTCACAATTTAGTAGGGGAAATAAACAACTACAATACCATGGAATTAGAGCTATTATAAAAGAAGCCCTAAAGGTGCTGGGCACAGAAGAAGGACTCCCAACCCTGACAAGTCAGAGACAGATTCTGAAGAGTGACTTTTAAGCAGACACTTCCGGAAAGTTTAGTAGAAATAAGCTGGGTAATGAGAGGGTGAGGGGAAGAATGTGTTCTGGAAGGGACACAAAGGGAACAGCAATAGAGTTAAGCGGGTGATGGATCTGGACTCGGCAAATTAAAATGAGTCTGGCATTTTCATCCCAGAGGCAATGAACAACCCTCCCTGAAGAACTTTAGGTAGATTCTCTGTGATTACTATGGCTATGTTCTAGGGAAAGGACCAAGGAAGGCAAGACCAGTGGGTGGACAAAGCTAGTACCACCACTAAGGTAGTAAAGAATGGTACAGTCTAGAGTGGTTGCAGTCATGATGACAGTGGTAGAAATGATGTCCCCCACCCCCCAAAAAAACAGGAGGAAGAGCCAATGGAATGGCATCTTAGCTTCCTGGCTGGAAACTGGAGAAGCTACTTGGCAAGAAAGGGGAGACCCATTTCTGAACATGATTTGAAGAACCTGATGACCCTTTTCCACTTTTCCAGTAAGCACCAGCCATAAGGAAGAGCACAAGGACACAGTGCTTAAGTAAGAGTCAGATTCTATACAAAACTTTATATTTATTAAAACCTTCTCTGTAAGAATTATACCTTTGACATGGGTTGGATATGGATTGAGTGTGTTCCCTGAAGGTTCACATGTTGAGGCTTATCTCAGCATGGTGGGGTTTTAAGGGTTGGAAACTAGTGGGAAGTCTCTGGAGGCTGCCTTGGGAAGAGATTAAGATAGTTCTAATGGAACCCTGAGTTAGTTCCTGTGAGGTTATCTCTTTTCTCTATAAAATAGTTACCCAGCCTCAGGTATTTCATTACAGTAAGAGAAAAAGGACTAATACAACTGTTTACCCCTATTTTATAGACAAAAGGATGGAGGTACAAAATATGCACCCAAATTCACAGAGCCAGTAAGTACCTGTGTTTACTTATGGTATCTTCAGTATGGCCTTAGTTGGAGCTCTTAATGATAGCCTGCTATTAACTCTCAAACAAACAGTCTGAGACTCATTAAAAACACATGGAGCTGAGTGCAATGGTGCATGCTTGTAATCCCAGTGACTCAGGAAGCTAAGGCAGGAGGATCACAAGTTCAAAATCAGCCACAGCAACTTAGCTTGGTACTAAGCATCTTAGTAAGACTGTCTTAAAATAAAAAATAAAAAGGGCTGAGAATGTAGCTCAGTGGTAAAGTGCCCCTGAGTTCAATCCCCAGTGAGAAACTCTGAAGGGCCAGTCAAGTGCAGCTGGGAAGTTTTGGAAAATGTGTGTGATGCTGGGAGTTTGAGTTTGTTTTTTATGAGAGGCTGGTCAATGACAGCGTATTTTTTAAGGCTCAATTAAAAATGGTTCTCACATTTTTATAAGGTAAAGAAAGGGGAAGAACACTCAACAGAGACAGGATGTGGCTCCGAAAATCTAACACATATATTGTCTGGTCCTTTACAAAAACAATTTTGGAATCTCTTGTGGCCTTGGCAAGAACAGATTCAGGGAACCAGAATGGGGGTGGGGTACAAAAACCAGGCTGTCTGTTATTTAGGAACATAAAAAAATAATGGAGAGAAAGGTGGTTCTTTCACAATGTCTGGCTGTGGGGAAAGAGCTTCAAGAGGTTAAGGGGAGAGAAGAGGTTTGCTTTTTATGAGCACTGTTAAACACAAAAAGGAAGAAGTCCCTGAAAGAGAATGGATGAAAACCCCAGAAAGAGAAACTGCTACTGAGAAAGGTCCCTATTAAAGGGGAGGATATAGGATCCAGAACACAAATAAAACCCAGAACACCCTTCTGAGGTAACAAGAAGGCAGAAAAGGGTGTTAGTTTGCAGGCATGAAAGTGAACACATGCCAGTTTATGGCTTCTGCTTTCTCTAAGTTATCTGCTAGGAACAAGGCAGAACAGCAGGATCAGGGATTTAAGAAACAGGGCAGAATTTTCAAATGTCTGCAAGGAAGGCAGTGTGCTGATAAGAGAGAAACAGAATGCTGAGCAGCCTCAAACACCCACTTAAGGTTAGTAACCATAAACTACAGTTTCATTTATATGGCCTGAATGCCATAAGCCACAGCATTTTCCAGATAATGAAACATATTCCCCGAAACATATTCCTCTTCAAGACATTATAAACTTTGATGGACACTTAAAATGCTTTATTGCTTCCATGGTTTTTGAATAGACAGCAGTTAAGCACAGGCTTTGGAGTTGGAGATCTTGTTTGGAATCCAACCTCTGTCACTTACTAGGTGTTTAATCTTATCCAAGTTAATTACTCTCAGTAGTCTATGGTTTAAATGTGATATCACTAACAGCTTCAAGTATTAATTTTTTTAATATCTTTGGTTTTTAAATTTATTTGTTTTTATGTGGTGCTGAGGATCAAACCCAAGGGCTCACACACACTAGGTGAGTGCTCTACCGCTGAGCCACAACCCCAGCCCAGCTTCAGTTATTAAAAGAATTAAACAAGATATAAAAAAATGGTGTATGAGTTGCAAGAGTTATGGTTTGGTAAATTGCAACTAAATTATACTCTATATCATTATTAGCAGCAGCAATAATTTACTATCTTACATTACTGGAACTGGTTCAGCTTAGTATTAAAATGGAGTCCACAGAGGAGATGGATGTTTAGGACACTTCCATCTCCATACAATCTCAGTATATTACTAACCAAGTGACCCAGCAGGACACTCTAGGTATCAAATTTCCAATCTGGAGAATGAGGGGATTGGAGTGATCATTATAAAACTCCCAAGACTTTTTTCATTTTGATGTTGGGCGACAGCACTATGCATTATGAAAATATGACCTGTGTGATGAAATCAACTACATTTGTCACTGTACAGCTTTGTAGTTAACAAAACTTGAGTCTGAATCTTGCTCTTAATAAATAAAGTGAGTTATTTAACATCTTTGAGTCTCTCTTATCTACAAAAGAATAAACAACACCAGCTTAAGAGATTCTAATGATTTGACTTAAACCACTCAGAATTAGAGCCTTTAGCTGAAACTCCCGCCCTACAAACGGTGAGAACTCTTTCCCTTTTACAGGAGCCATACAAGAGACAAGGGAGTGAAGTAATCTGAACTGTCCTCCGCTTTGTACTGAACCCTGTTCACACACTGGTGCCTGGTCCTTATTTTCCCAAGCATAAATACATTAGGAGAACAAATTGGGACCTCATTAAAACGCCAAACTTTGGGAGTATTACTATATTCAAAAAAGCATTCCATGCCTAATTTTTCTCTTGGTTCACACATTTTTGACTATTTTCCCCCCAGGGAGCCACCCTAGGGACAAAGACAGCCAACAGATGTAACTCATGTAAAAGGGTAGCAAGACAAAGGAAGAAATTGACGACTGAACACAGGATTTAAGAGATAAAGCTTGGAAAGGTACACGTGAAAGCTTTCTGCAAGGACCAAAGTGGGGCTTCTCGGCAGATTTCCAGTTCCCACCCTAGGAGTTCTCAGCGGTCCAGGTATCTAGGACCCTGTCTAATCGCCCTTCGGGGTACTGGCTTCGGCGACAACGCCTGGAGCCGGTCCAGACGTGTGGCCTCCGCGATCGGGGTCAGGAGATGTCTACCAGAAAGCCGAGGTCTGAGATAGCAGGTCAAATCCCCTGTCGGTCAGCGGTTCAGCGGGGTTGAGGGCACGGGGCTGTGCCTGGGGTCCAGTCGTCGCGCGGGGAGGGGGGCGGAGCGCAGCTGACAGAATTGGGCATGCGACACTCTTCCCCCTCCCTGTGTCCGCCTGGCATTCGGCGCCCGAGCCCAACCTCACCTGGAAGTGCTCCTGGAAGCGGATAGGGAAAATCTGAGCCATGGTAGGCGCGGGGAAGAGGCAGCCCAGGTTCCCCTCTCGCGGACTGACCAGAGGCAAGGACCACAGCTGCGCAGGCGCACTGTCCCGGGTCACTTAGTACCGCGCCCCTCCACGCGAGAGCCCTGCGCAGGATCCCTCCGCTCGCTATGAGGGTCCACGAAAATTACTCCGCGAGCAACCGGGATGCCAGCACTCTGTAGCCCCAGCGCGACTTAGCTCGTCTGAGGTACCCCAGATCATATGCGTGGGAACGCGGATTGGTTTTGGGGCTACCCCCGACCGGTGTCCATACAGGTGTGTGAGGGCAGGTGGACTGCGTCCCCAGGGAATGCTGCCGAAGGTGTACCTCGTTCTAAGCTGCCATTAACCAGTGTCCAGAGTATGTGTGTGGGGGCTGGGGAGTGAGTGTGAACTACTCTCAGCAACTTCTAAGCGAAAGTTTTCCGGAGAGAGAAACGAAGTTTTTACACTGCCCTTGCCTAGAGCGAGCTTTCCTCCTGTAGAGAAGGGGCAGAGATATTTTATTCTACTTCAAACTCTTGAGCTGTTGCTTTCAGGGCCGCTTTTTATTCAGGCAGAGGAGTGACATAAACATGGAAATGGGGGGGGGGTCTTTCAAATACGTGTTACAGATGTGTTGTTCCTTTTCAAGGTTCAGCCACCTTTCCATTAGGAAACATTTTCCTGGCTCAAACAGATTTCTAGAGAACTCTGTCTCAGAGTTTCAATGCTGAGATCATCCAGTAGCAGCTAACCGAACCACCTGGACTGCACGAGGTTGCTCAACAGTAGTAGTAGGGAGCAGGTCGGAAACTCCACCCCATACCTGGTTTGCCCAGCGGTCAGTATTTTTCTTGAGGCAGCCCAGCATTTGAAGATGTGCATTGCATGCAGATGACTAAGTGCTTAAAAGATGTTTGTCAGGAAAGGGAAGACTTTGGCATTCAGCATAGGCACTGCTGCGGTGTAATCAATATCCCTCTACCACTTTACAAAGAGACAGGGGTAAGTTTATATGACTTTAGATATGGCAGTGGTTTCTAAGATATAAGACTAAAAGAACAAGGAACAAAAGATAAAAAAAAAATTCTGGAAACTTTTAAGAGATGAATGAAGTCCACTGTCAACAATACAATTATTTCCACAATAGTTTGACTATCTAGTAGCCTAAAATGTTAAAGAATAGAATGGAAGGATCCCTTTCAAATTAAAAATCTCTTTTCTGATGTTAGTCAAGATCTCTGCAGGTTGCTCTTCAACATCTGTGGTCTTATTTCCTAACAAGAGAGCTGACTTGCTGTGGGTAATAGTACATTTCCCAAATTTATTTTGACAATAGTGCCTGTGACCCTAAGTACCCATTTCCCCAGGGCTTTTTCTTTTTTCTTTTAGGTGGGGGGAGGGGTCAAACTAAAAAGTTATATCTTAAAAGAATTTTAAGAATACTGTTGTAAAGCAGAATGAGGAGACTGTCAATAAATCAGGACCTCACCCAGTGTCTGTACTTGGCAAGGAATAAAATGTCCCAACCTGAAAAGGATGTTAATATTTTCACAACTGGTGGGTAACTGGCCAGGTAATCCTGAAAAACAAAATGAAATGAAACAACCCTCAAAACAAAACAAAAATTCTTTAAATCCTTTGTGCTGTTTTATCTTTATAGAAGAAATGGTGAGCTCCTACAACTCAGTAAAACCAACAACCAAATAAAAAACTGGGCAAAATACATGAACAATTCATTAAGAAGAAATGAGTGATGTTTAAACATGAAAAATATGCCAACCCTTACTCATAAAACAAATGCCCACCCTTACTCATAAACCAAAGGCAGATTAAAATATTGTTTATATATATATATATATTATATAGATAATATAATATATAGCTGGGTGCAGTGGCACATGTCTATAATCCCAGTGAATCAGGAGGCTAAGGCAGCAGGATCACATGCTTGAAGCCAGCCTGGGCAACTGAGATCCTATCTCAAAATTAAAGAAGGCTAGGGATGTAACTCAAGTGTTAGGAGTGCTTGCTTATTACATAGGAGGCTCTAGGTTCAATTCCAGTATCAGAAAAAAAAAAAGAAAAAAGAAAAAAGAAAGAAAGGGAAGGAATGATAAGAAAAGAAAGGACAGGGGTAAGTTTATATGACTTTGGATATGGCAGTGGTTTCTCAGATATAAGACCAAAAGAACAAGGAACAAAAGATAAAAAAAAATTCTTTGCATTATATGACACTATCAAGAATGTGAAAAGACAAATCTGATAAGGAACTTTTATAGAGGATGTATTTAAAAATTCTTAATGATAAAAAGATAACTAAATTTGAAAGTTGGAAAAGGATCTGAATTGATTTTTCTGCAAATAAGACATACAGTTGGCCAATGAAAATATATTCAATGCATTTGGTCACTAGAGAAATGCAAATCAAAACCACAAAGATACCACTTTACTCTCACCAGGATGACTTCAGTAAAAAAAATACTGGCAAAGATGTGGGACAATTAGGTCCCTTATACACACTGGTATGAATGTAAAATACTGCAGCCACATTATAAAGCAGAATGGTAGTTCATCAGTTATTTAGTCACCATATGATTCAATGTTTGGATCTGGTATGTCCCCCAAAGGCTCGTGTGTTGAAGATTTGGTCCTCAGTGTAGCAGTGCTTAGAAAACTTTGGGAACTGACAGAATCATAAAGGCTCTAACCTCATCAGTGGATTAAAACAATTATATTTTCATAAATTGATGGCATTATTGGGAGATGATGGAAACTATCAGACATGGGTCCTAGTTGGAAGTAGGTCACTGTGGACGTGCCCTGAAAGGCTATGTCTTATACCTGACCTCTTCCTTGTTTTCTTTCTGCTTCCTAGTTGTCATGAGGTAGACAGCTTTGCTCTGCTGTGCTCTTCCACCGTGATGCTCTGCCTCCACCCCAGGTCCAAAGCAATAGCCAACCATAGTCTGAAATCATGAGTCAAAATAAATCTTTCCTCCTTTAAGTTGTTTTTCACAGGTATTTGTAAACTGCAACAAAAAGCTGACTGACACACCAAGCAATTCCACTCTTGGATATGAAATCAAGAAAATGAAATCATGTTCACAGAAAAACTTACACAGCACCATTATGGATAATTGCCCAAAGAGAGAAACAATCCTGATGTCTATCAACAGGTGACTAGATATGCAAATGTGGTATTCCATACAATAAAATATTTGGCCATAAAAAGGAGTAGTGATACATGCTACATGAATAAACTTTGAAAATTATGCCAAACTGGATGTAGTGGTACATTCCTGTAATCTTAGTGACTTGGGAGACGAAGGCAGGAGGATGGCAAGTTTGAGACCAGCTTCAGCAACTTAGCAAGACCCTCAGCAACTTAGTAAACCCATCTCAAAAAATAAAAAGAACTGGTGATGTAGCTCAAGTGGTAAAGTACTCGTGGGTTAATCCCCCAGTACACACACCAAAAAAAAAAAAAAAAAAAAGAAACATAAGAAACCTGTCAGAGAAGACCCCATATTCTATGATTCTGTTTATGTGAAATATCCTGAATAGCCAAGTCTATGGAGGTGGAAATTGATTGGTGGTTGCATTGGGATAATGTGAATGGGATATGACAGATAAAAGTGTTATGAGCTCTTTCTGAAAATGTTGAAGGAAAAAATTTGTCACCCCTCTTTCTCCTCTCCTTTGTTGACTCCAATTCAGTGTATATTGGACTACTTGAAGTTATCTTCATAGTTCTGATATTTTTCTTTCTTTTGGAATTTTTCTGTTTCAGAACATTTCTATACCTTTAAGTTCACTAATCTTTTTTTCCCTGCAGTGTCTAAAGTGTTGTTAATCCTATCCCATACATTTTTCATGTTAATGATTAGTTCTCATGTCTAGAAGTTCAATTTGTGTCTTTGCTAAGTTTTCCCACATCTCTATAACTTTTGGAACATAGGAGTAGTGTTATAATCTCTTTAAATGTCTTTCTTTGCCAGTTCTAACATTGGTTCAAATTCTGGTTCAATGTAGACTGAAATTATTCTTTTTGGATCATCTTCCTGCTTCTTTGTATGCCTTGTTATCTTTGTTTGGATGTTGGACATGGTTAGCTTCATCTTGTTGGATGTTGCATATTTTCATGTTCTTATAAATCTTTAAGCTTTGCTTTGTAATGGAATTGTTACTTGGATTCTTTTGGGTCTTCCTTTTATTTTTGTTAAATGGATCTTGGTGTAATTATTTTCCAATACAGAGACAAAACTTTCTTGAGTATTATATTTCAAGCTTGTGAGTTATGAGCTTTTCTAGTCTGGTTACTAGCAACAGGCGATTTTCACTTTTTTTTTTTTTTTCAGATTGTTCTTTGTTTGGCCTCAGCAGTTGTTTCATATGGTAGTTTCCTCAGGTGCTTGCACTCTTCAGTACTCAGCTGAATACTCAAGAGGGCCTCTCTACAGATTTTTAAGGTTCTCTATGGAGCTCTCTTCTCTGGTGTTTTGTCTTGTAAACTCTAGCTGCCTTAGTCTCTTGGATTCTCAACTCCATTTCTTCAACTCAAGTGTTGGCTGGGTTCCACTTCACTTTATTGTGTCCTGGAAACCCTCTCTCCAGATAGGAAGCTGGGGCAATTTTGGGTTTGCCTTGTTTCCCATCTGTCTTTTTTTGGTGGTACTGGGGATCAAACCCAGAACTTCACACATGCTGGGCAAGAACACTGTCTCTGAGTTACACCTCCGGTCCCCATTTCTCTTTTTTTGATATCCAGTCTTGAAATCATTGTTTTATTTATGTTGACTGGGTCACTGGTTGTTTCAGGCAGCAGGGTAAATCTGATCTGATCTGTTATTTCATCTTGGTTGGAATTGGAAACTGACCAGTTTTTCTCCATCCTCTCCAAAGAGTTGTAGTAAAAACACAATTGCCAATGTTTACTTCAAGGGAGCATTTTCTAAGTGATAGGACTTTGCCTACATGATTCATTTGTCTTTATAATTATGTAGGCTTTCTTAATCTCATCTCTGTTTGATAGCTGAAAAAAATGAGGCCCAGGTTTTTACTGGTTTAGATCTCAGGCCTGTTGGTCCTAAGGCTACGTATATCTGTAGCTTCACAAAATTCTCAAATGTTGTCTTGTTTTAGTTGCCAGGGATGCTGCTTGACCAGTACAGTAGCATCTTCCTCAAAGAAAAGCTCCTCCACTTGCAGCCTGCCTTTTGATGGCTCCACATTCTATACTGGCTTTTTGCAGCATGCAGATGTCCTTGAATCTCATCCAGCCATTTAATATCAGAATGAGAGAAGGAATGGGATGGCCCCTAGACAGGGAAGCAGTCAGAGAGGAGATGTCAAAGGTCAGAATCACAAGGCCTTTTGATTCCAAGTCCAGGGTTCCTTACCTAGACTCAGAATCACACACAGCTGGCAAGGTACTGGGGGGGTGGGGTGGGGAGTGCGCAGCCTTACCTGTGTTTGAAGATTCTGTAATTTTAACTCCTTTCCCATAGATCAGCATCTTGTCCACTTTCTAAGAAAATTCCAGCTTTCCTGATAATTTTTAATTATCGATTACAATAAGTACACTCAACTTTGTACTTATTGTTTCATGAAATTGGCTAAGCAGTCATCAATCCAGCCCTTGGTACCCAGCATGATCGGGAGCTGGGGCACAACTAGGCTAGAACCAAGAATCAGAATGCCTCATTTGGCAGATGACATGTGCAAGGTGGCCCACTTCCTAGCCCCAGGCCAGCTTTAGGAGCTACACCACCAGAAAAGTGACTTCCATACTGAGAAATGAATTTATGCGTGGGGGGTGGGGATCAGATGAAATCAAAGGATCCTTTCAAGTTGAGATGTTTTCTCACTGCCTACTTCTTAGGAGAAAGATCCACAGTGGGGGAAGGAAAGCAGACATCAGAAGGAAAAGGAAGGGGAAACCACAATAATTTGGTATCCAATGCGTATTCATTTATTTTACACTTACAAAAGAAATCACCCTCCCATTTGCCCCATCCCCCAAAAAACATCTCTTTTTACAAACATTTAAAAATTAAACCAAATGAATAGACAAGTTAATTTCAGTACAATTATTTTTCAGTGTAGCTGTCATAATTAGAGTTTAAATTTCCTACAAGTGACCAATGTCCAAGTAACTTATAGGGAAATCCTGATTATTGGCCAAAAGAAAAATTCCATATTACAAGTTAGCAAATTCTAGTACAAAAATAGTCCATGTGTTGGAACAGCTTTCCTTTTACATAGGTCTCAAGTCAGTCTGCTGACTGTATAACACTTAATGTTTGCAGATTCTTGCTCTCACAAATGGCTCATTCGTCATAGCTGAAGCAGCACAGTGCCTGGAGCTGCAGGGCTAGTGTCCACCATGGGGCCGTGTTGGAGATGGCAGGCCCAGGAACATCTTGCTGGCCCCAGGGCAGAAGGGCACAACCCCAGCCCCAGCTCTGCATGGGGACCCTGGAGAGAGGAACGAGCTGTCCCTTTCTGAAGCAAGAACAGGCCCAGGACACAGGGCACGTCCACTTAGGGAGCTGGGCTGGTGCTGGTGCAGGACAGCACATTGCCTGCCAATGTCTCCTCCTACTGCAGACTGGCCAGGTGAGAGGCAACCCTGGGCATCATTAGCAGTGAGAGTGTAGCCCTGCCCTTGTTGCTGCTGGGGCAGGTCAGGGCAGGCTACTTGTCCCTCAGGATGTCGAGTTGTTCCTGACACTCGGTGAAGAGGCGCTGGAAGCGGAGGTTTTGCCCAATGACTGGCAATAGCTCCTTTAGCAACTCCCTCTTCCGCAGACCCTGTAGACACAGAGTGACAGCTGAGTGAAAGTGTCAGGAAGGAGACCCAGATATCATGGGACATTTTCCTGGCCTGGTAGACACCCTTGTCTGCTCAATGGAGAAACCATAAAGGGAAAAGAATGATTCCTCTGCATATGATGAACCCTGGTGAGTTAAAAGGCTGGACTGGGCTAGGCCATGTGTGAGACAGAGTGAAGGGGAGTACTATAGTACAGGGATAAAGGAGGGAAGGCTGGGACAGGCTCTGTAGACCTTTTAATTGACAGGACAGTGGCTATAGGGACTTGACATTCTAGGACAGGATGGAGTTGGCACATGAGGGCTGAAGGTCAGAAGGGTGGGCATTCAGGAGAGTCTGCTCCTTATGCTGATGCTCCCCAGGCACTGGAGCTCAAGCCTGAGGTATGGAGGCCCTGGAAGGAAGCATCTGGTTTTATTAGTATCGATAATCTCTGCCCTTGGCTCTTGTCCATGCTTCCCCTAGCCAGGGCACACTGGCACCATAGTCTGCAATACGTGCTGCTAGGTGGGTTCTCTGCTGCTCAGGCCAAAGAGCAGACCTTGAGTAGGACAGCTACTTCAAAGGGAAAACAGCTAGCCACTTAACATTTATCACTGGAAGAGAAGGCCCAGGATTTTAAAGTAAGTGTGACACAAAAACCCATAAAAAGACTAGAAATGATGGGAGAAAAACCAAGTATAGATATTATGTTTAGCAACACAGGTATTGATAGGATAAGTAGGAGGGTAGCTGCTGCTGAAGACCAAGTCAGAGTAGGGAAGGCAGGTCAGATGTAAGAGAAGCCCAGGCTCCAACAGGGAGGAAAAACTATATGGGAAAAGTAAAGATAAACAGTGCAGCAGAGAGGTCCAACAACCACATAATAGGGTTCCATAGGAGAGATGAAAGGAAGTACTTGAGAGAAATGAGTAGACTTCATATAATTAAGGAAAAATTAATGGCTTAGATTGAAAGGCTCTCTAAGTGCTGACCAAGTAAGATATGGAAAAACTAACATCTTGATATGTTAGAATGAAATGTGTATAATCTGCAATATCAAAGAAAAATTCTGAAATTTCCTAAAGGAAAAGAGCATACAAACTACAAAGAAGAGACTCCAAGATTCATAATAAACTAATATTATGAGCAAATGAGAAAAAATTTATCTAATCTAGATTTAAATTCAGCCAAACTATTGTTTGCATATGAGGATGTAATAAAAACATTCTTAGGGCTGGGGATATAATTTAGTGGTAAAATGCATGCTTACTATATATGAGTACCTACGTTTGATTCCCAGCATCATACATAGACAAAAACCAAAAACAAAATAAACTTATAGACCTCAAAATATTGCCATGAGAAGGATTCTGCTCACAAAATTTTTTGTAGGAAATCTTCAAAGTAAGAAGAGGTTAAATCCAGAAGATGCTAAAAGAGGTATAAAAAAGAATATGATCAATTCTTTTCATAAAATTTATATATTTATATTCATAAAATTTATAAATGCAAGTAAACTGAACATGGTGATGAAAAAAATATAACCAAACTAGCCATATTATGCTGGCAAGAAACACATAAGGCTAGGGACATAGATCAATCAATGGTGGGTCACACCTGGCATGTGTGAGGCCCTGGGTTCAACCCCCAGCACTGTAGGGGTTAGAAAACACATACATGCAAAAACACAGAAGCTGAAAGTTGAAAGTTAAAGATAGAAAAAGTAATGTTGTAAAAACTAAGAAAGCACTCATTTTATAGTTACCAAAGTGGACAATAAAAAAAGAAGAAAGAAAACTTTAGTAAAATAGAGTCAAAAAAGAGGGACAAAACCAACCTCCAAGGGGGAGATTTTAATACACTCTCTCTCTCTCTTTTTTTTTTTTTTTAAAGAGAGGAGAGAGAGAGAGAGAGAGAGAATTTTTAATATTTATTTTTTAGTTCTCGGCGGACACAACATCTTTGTTGGTATGTGGTGCTGAGGATCGAACCCGGGCCACACGCATGCCAGGCGAGCGCGCTACCGCTTGAGCCACATCCCCAGCCCTTAATACACTCTCAATTAGTGATTGGTTAGAAGGACAAAACTGTGCATGTTGAGTTAATACAAACCCAACATTTAGCAGATATGACCTAATAGATATATAGAATGAGGAATCCACAATGGTAAGGACTTTATTTATTTATTTATTTATTGGTACCAGGGATTGAACCACTGAGTCACATCCCCAGCCCTTTTTATTTTGAGACAGGCTCTTGCTAAGTTGCTGAGGCTGGCTTTAAACTTGGGAGCCTCCTGAGCTGCTGAGATTACAGGTGTGCACCACTGCAGCCACCAAAGGACTTTAAAGAACACATCCCCACCCTCCCTCCCTCCCTCCTTTCTTCTTCATTGTCCACCTCCCTTACTCTTTCTTTTTGTACGGGTGATTCATCCTAGGCCTTGTGCATGCTAAGCATGCACTCTGTCACTAAGCTATAACCTCAGACTCATGGAACACATGTAATTCTTAGGCATAAATAGAAATACAAAGTTTTTCTCTAAAAGCAGATCTTAACAGATAAACATGAGATGATGGTTCAGTATGGGTCAAATCCAGGTCAAATCTATTTTGGTAAACAGTTTTATCCAAATGTAGCTACACATTTGTTTATATATCATACTACAACATTAGTGTTCAGTTTGGATTTTTATGGGTTTGCAAAGCCTGTTCTTTTTTTTTTGGTACTGGAGATTGACACCAGAGTCTCTACCACCAAGTTATATCCCTAGCCCTTTTTATTTTTTATTTTGGGACACAGGCTCACTAAGTTGTTGAGGCTAGCCTCAAAATTTTGATCCTCCTGCCTCAGAATCCCAAGTGCTGGGATTACAGACCTGCAATATCACTCCTGGCTTACCATCTATTCTGTTTTTGGGGGGTGGGGCGGGGGGGGCAGTGTTGGGGATCAAACCCAGGGCCTTGTACACATAAGGTAGACGCTCTACTGTTGAGTTGCAATCCTAGACCCTTAGCCATTTGTTCTTTAGATAGGAAATCTGTCTACTCTTCACATAAATCACATTCTCTGACTAAAATACAAGTGAGTAAAACTCAGAGGTCAAAGAGAAAATTCACTTTAATTAACTGAAATTAAAAATTACTTATATGACAAAAGAATAGAAAAAAAAAAAAACCCTAAATACTCCCAAATTGCTGTGATTCACCTGAAGGCATTTGCAAGATTAAATAGTTTATGAAGCTGGGTGTGGTGGTGCATGCCTATAATCCCAGAAGCTTGGGATGCTGAGGCAAGGAGGATTGAGAGTTCAAAGCCAGCCTCAGCAAAATCAAGGCACTAAGCAACTCAGTGAGACCCTGTCTCTAAATAAAATACAAAATAGGGCTGAGAATGTGGCTCAGTGGCCAAGTGCCCCTGAGTTCAATCCCTGGTATGAAAAAAAAAAAAAAGTTTATGAGCTGGGTATAGTGGTGCACATCAGTAATGATAGCACTGAAGGCTGAGAGGATTATTTGAGTTCAAGAGTTCCAGACCAGCCTGGGCAACATAGTGAGACCCTCATGTCAAGAATAAATAAATAAATAAATAAATAAATTGAAAGATAAATAGATGAGTACCAGATGTGGTGGTACACACCTGCAATCCCAGGGACTTGGGAGGCTGAGGCAAGAGGATCACAAGTTTGAAGCCAGACTCAGTAACTCAGCTAGACCTTGGCAACTTTAGCAAGACCCTGTCTCAAAATAAAAAATAAAAAGGACAGTGAAGTGAACGTAGCTCAGTGATAAAGTAGCCCTGGGTTCAATCCCTAGTACCAAATAAAAATCTAAATTATTCTCACAGAGAACATATATGACTAAACAAAATCTGAAAAAACATACTTGAACAAAACGAGAATAACAATTCAGAGAAAGAAAAATGTAAAAAAGAACAAAGCAGAAATTCTGAGTTGAAAACCACAATAACTGAATTGAAACAATTCAGCAGAGGGATTCAATAGTAGATTCAAACAGGCAAAAGGAAGAACTTATGGAGTCTGAGGAGTAAAAAGAAAACAGAACCTAAGGGACTTATAGAACAACATGAAGTACATTGATGTACACATTATAGGAATTCCAGATGGATAATAGAGAAAGTAGTAGAAAGCTTATATGAAGAAATAATGGCCAAGAACCTTTCAAATTTGAAGAAAGACATAGATTTAAAAATATAAGAACCTTAATGAACCTTAATAAGAAAACCTCAAAGGAACCCACACTATAATCAAACTTTGGGAAGGTGAAGACAGAATCTTGATAGCAGCACAAGAAAGTGACTTATTGTATAAAAAGGATACTCAATAAGATTATCAGTGTAGTCAGAGGGATGGCATATCTAAATTACTAAAATTAGAAAAAAAAAACCTGTCAACTGAGAATACTATATCAAGCAAAACTTTCCTCCAAAGGACGGAGATATTAAGACATTTCCAGATAACTGAAACTGAGGGAGGGAGTTCATTATCACTAGACCAGCTCTATATGAAGTGCTAAATGGAGTCCTTTAAGTTGAAACAAAAGGATGTAAGTAACACAAAAATTTCTCCAGTAAAAGTTAAAAATGGACAAATATAAAAATCTGTATTATTGTCTGGAGATGCAGCTCAGTAGTGAAGCACTTGCCTAGCATGTGTGAGGTCCTGGGTTGGATCCCCAATATGGCAAACAAAACAAAACAAGAAAACTGTATTTATTGTACTTTTGGCTGGTTTTGCCTATAGGATTTAAAAAAGACAAGAAACAAAGAAATAATTATAAATCTGTTAGAAAGAGTTCACAATATAAGGATATAATTTATAATGTCATAACCCAAAATGGGCAAGATGGAGCTATAAAGGAGTAGACAAATCTTGTATGCAACTGAAATTAAGCTGGTATCAGTTTAAAATAGGCTGTTATAACTTTAGAATATTATATGTACTGTCCTTGGAAACCACAAAGAAAATATCTATAGA